GGGATTTTCAACCTTTTTTAAAGTTATATCAAGCAGATAGACCACTCATACCGTTTCTGGCATCAGACCTAGAGAGCCTTCTAAGAAATGTCATGGCACGGTTCGTAAAGGATGCAGTAATGGAAAGTGCTAACTCATATCTCAAACTTGCAGAAGTGGACATTTTATCAACAGATAATACCAAGTCAGCGAAATCAATCGATGTTGGCATTGCAACAAAGAGGGAATTAGTTAGCTTACGTCGAGATGGTAAAATCACACAAAAAGAAGAGCTYGAATTCATGGTTCATTGTAAGACATTCCTCACTCGTACAACAGAGAAGATGTTAGAAAAGTGCCCYCTGAAGTACCACTTCGTACGCTGTATTAGATGTTTAGATCCTCATGTYATGGTAGGCCCAGTTACTTCCTCGTTGAAACTGTTTGGGAGGTTATTAAATTGCTTGATTGATGCAAAGAGAGTGAGAGAAATGGATGCAGATAACCTTAAGCGTCAGTACCATCAGTTTTTGTCCAACGAGATTCATGGCAACCMTCAAACACTCCTGAAGCTCAAAGGTTACRACAAAGTGAAAGATGAACGAATTGACTCACTATTAGCAAGTCTTTTGAAAGGCAAGAGTCATTTCTTCAAACTATGGCAGCTTGTGCAATGTCTTMTTGTGTTATCCCACGGCCAGGCSGGCGTTRAAAGAGGATTCAGCATCAACAGTGAGTTAATGCAATATAACTTCAAAGAAAAGTCAGTGATTGCATTGCGTACAATTTATGACCACATCAAGAAGTGTGGAGGGGTGTTAAACGTGAAGATCGATCAGGATTTAAGAAATGCDGCACGAAATGCGTCTTCCATTTACCGAAATGAGCTAAGGAAACAACAAGAAACGGAAAGAGAGAGAGAAAAAGAGCGGATGAACAAGGATGTCAATGATGAAATWTTCGCTATGCAAACAAGAAGGAGACGTATACTAGAAGATTCTTCTCAACTCAAAGAGAGTGTTGACAAGCTAATGGAATWAGCAGAAAAAGAACGCAAGATAGTGCATGTCACGAAAGCTAACAGCTTCAAGAGGACAATAAAGGATATGGAACTCGGGGCTAATGAGTTAAATGACAAAATTGATCAGCTAAAGAAGAAACTCAAGCGTTGACACTTTTGATTTTGAGTGAACCAAATGGCTTAGCCTCAATGGCAAAGACATTCTTCTGTTTACAGTTTTTAGAAACTTTGTTTAAATTTGTGTTTGAAATGCAACAATTTCAATTGTATCAGTAACAGTGTTTCTAACAATTGTTTTCGAAGTCCTTGTGAAAACGAAAAAAAGAAAAGAAACAAGGCCATAAGCGCTTGAATATTAGTACCTTGAGGAAGCCATTTCAATGCCATTTGGCATTGTCTCTGAGAAATAACTTTAGACACTTTTTTGTAATATTTTACAATAGGTCATCATTTTTTATTATTTGGATTAGCCGTGACTGAGTTTGAAAATCTWTCTTAAGTATTTTTGAGTGTGTTAACGGAGCTACTTTTAGGAAGCTTTTAAAATCTGTTGACAAATTTAGCAACATTCCGATTTCGCACATTTCCAGACAAAGTGTCTACACATGTTTAGACATATCGGTAACCACTCATTAATTTGATCAAATAACATTTAAATAAAAATATTTTGATATCTAACAATGTTTTAAGCCAGCCATAGTAGCTCAGGTGAATTTTGACTTTATTGTGTTGTTTACGCGTCCATGAAGTGCGATATTTTAGCGTTATTACGGAGACAATACATTCATTCTTTACGTGAGTTGTGATATTCGCAAGTATTGTATTTGACTAAATGAAAGTCAATCTGATTGTGGAGTATTTTGTGGAGGTTTTTGCAATCCAAAACGCCAGTTTTCTTCATTGAAAAGCTCAACCAAATGTTCATTATCTTGATTTTTACTTGTGATATGGTCCTTGAAAATTTTGATTTTGGTCCTTGAATACTCCTTGAATTGTCCTTGAATGTCTACAGAAAATTCCTGCACGAGCCCTGTAATAATACGTGGCGTATGATGATCTTTGCAAACTTATCTTTCTTTCCAATATCATTTACAAATGTTGGTTCACCCTGGGCTTCTAATATGCAAGTAATCTCTTCATCATCCAAAGCATTCATCAGGGTATTGATGTCTGAGGCATCCTGGATCTGTTAGGAGCAATGTTAATATATGAGTGAATGACTCTTAATTTGTTATCATACAACAGAAGAAAAACATCGTTTGATACAAGTTGGTCAGTGTCAAATATTGCAAAACCACAACAGATATACCGGTATTAAACTTTTGTTGCCTTTCCAGTAATTGCAAATTCTACATTATAACTCAGACATTAATGTTGCAATACAATTGGAAAACTACAATATACAGACCTTCTGAACTTTGGACTTCATGTTGGCTGGCAGATCCTCCAGCTTAAGCTCTGGAACATTGGCAATGGTATTGTATAATGATGCACTAAAGAAGTTTCCCACTGTGCCTCCCTGTACAAGGGACCAAACGATGGCAAGTCCCACCAATCTGTAATAGTCCTTTCTACGAGCTGAAAAATAATAAGCAATTACTAAGCAATAAGTTTCATAAAAATTAATGTTGTGTGTCATCCTATAAACAAACTTAAATAATCATGCTCTTTCAGATGTGCAGAACATTGAACAAATAGTTTTCATTTTCCCACTAACAATTGGAAATAGTAATATCATTACAAATTAAAACCAACAGCATTGTTAATTTTGTTATGCTTTTGAACTTTGCCAAGGTTCAAAAAATTATGATAAGCTGACAATTTAAATATTAAAGGGAATAAAACATTCTGGAGCACATGCACATCTGGGAGAACCTCAAGCGTCATTTTAGCATCTATACTTAATTGCCAGGTTTTATGAAAAGTAATCTCGTACCAGCAAAATAATCAAACTAATCACAAACCTTCAGGATTTATTGCCAGTACACGTTTATATTCTTCCCCTTGAAAGATCCCTGAACGTTCATTTATGTCTTTCATTAGAAGTCTGAAGAACTCCCTGGAAGGGCCGCCAACATCTATCCCTTCCTCATCAGCAAAGCGTACAGAAACTTTTGCTCTGATGTCAAAGCACTTCCTTAAGATGTTCCTTATGCTATCCTCAAGAATAGCGGTCCTCCTCACATTCACAATAGATGTGACATCTTCATTCAAGTAGATGGTAAAATCTTGCAGAATTTGAACATGGACTTACATGTATCTCTTGAAGAACTAAAAATAAATGAACATCAGCTTAGATCTCCTGTGAATTGATAAGAGAAAATGAGCTACGCAAATAATAAAAAAACTTGTTCATAATTTAATAATTTATTACTAGGTATATTTTTCACTTCTTCTCAGGGGTCTGGGCACTTATTAACATTGGTGTTCTTGTGGTTGATATGTTTTTGCCCCAGGGGGTCAACTCAACTCTCCATGAATGTAGCTGAACTATCAGACTTTATAGTGCTTAAGTCTCGTCAAAGAAGGAAAATTGACCTGTTAGTTTCAATGTTAGTTTCAAAGGATGATATTGAGATTTGAAGTGAATTTAAAGGGTCTATTGGAGATCACACACAGGGATCCCTACAAATACTAAATAAATACTTCCTGTGGAACTTGGCTACTGGTATATTAACCAAACACTAGAAAACCAGCTCTAACTGATATGCTAACCTTATGCCTGACATGTCAGGTGCATTACCGTATTTGAGGTCATATCTCATGTGCAGAAACACTTTTTTATTCTATATTCCCCACTTGGTAATTTTTCTTTCTTAAAATTTGATGAGTACAGAAAGGAGCAAGGCAATATTACTTTTTACCTTGCAACATTTGGTGACTCCTCAATATTATTTTCCTCCTCTGTATTCGGTTTATCCTGAGTATTCATTGGGGTTTGTTCGAGGATTGATATGTAGGCACTGTAAAAAGAAAATAATTTATAGTAAAAAAAAATAAAATAAGTCTTATAACATGCATGTATGGGAACACTCACATACAGCATACAAGCATTTAATTTATGAATTCATATATTGAATGCATGCAAAATAAAATAATTTTAAATCTGACGGAATGATTCTTGATTTTATTTGACCTAGTTTGTTTCGTCTTTACAGGTGCAACAAACAAAATATTATAAATTGCTAAGTCAAACAGCAAAAATGTGTTAAGAAGGCTCACTGACTAGTGATTTTAGTTTAGGGGTTAACTATGCATTCATGTACAAATGATTATATAATTGTTGTCTTTAATTTCTTTGTGCTGTAAAATGAAATAAAAGTAATGATTACCTGTAGCTGTTTTCACCCTCATTTTGGGAACTAGTTCCAGGGCTTGGATTCAGTTTCGTAAGGAATGTTGGTTTCATAAGCTGCGATGAAATTTATCAATTCCCTTAATAATTTGTACAGAATATCTAACATTTTCCATCCATGACAAAAACTTCTATTTCTGAAATTTTTATACTTAACAGTGAAAGCGATGGGTCATAAATTCTGTATTCATGTTAACTTTAATTAGTAATCTTCCTTGCAGTACAGCAAGATTGAAGAATTAAGTGCAGTCACTTTATGCAAGCTATAATACTTGCACATGGATTATAGTACATACAGCAGATAATTAACTGGCTTATTTTGACAAGAATATAAAGCACTGGATTGCTTGCTTGAGAAATCCAGCTCTTATACTATTTAACACTGTAATTGAACACCATTGACAAAAATCACCAGTTCACATGAAATAGATGAATGTGTTTGACTGTGACTATATTACTAACTGTACATTAACAGATTTAAATTTGCTGATTAACTTACCTCATCATCACTCTCAGTAGACTGGTTGGGCAACTCAATATCAGACATTATATATATTGCCCCTTGATTTGCAATTGAAAGCACTTCTGGAGCATTCCATTGAAATGATGTCGATACAGTTGTTTTTTTCAATTTTTTTGCTCCTGGTACAGTGCTAAAAGATATAAAGTAATTGACAAATAGTTATTATTAAGTTGATTAAAAACACATTCAAAAAACACATAACTGAAATGTGGATGACAAAATAGTACAACAATCTTCTTCATGGTTCCCTGTACAATCTTGAGAGGTAGCCGTGACTTTTCATAAGAAGCGAGGTGACTCCTCAATCGAGCGTGTAATGATAAGAAGCTTTTCCTTGTACATGCAATCATAAAATTGGTCTTCCCACTTCAATACAAAGGCATCATGGTTACCCTTTTTAAAATGGCATGAAGGAGACTATTTCATTATGGCCATTTATAGTCTCAGTTTGTGATAATGACATCCATAGATTGCTATAATATAGAAAACGTCTATACTAACCTCAAATATGTGTAAGGTAGGCATTGATCTTCATTGAGTTTGAAAGGCTTTCTAAACGGGCTCGATATCTCTTGGGTTACCTCACTCTTAACTCATTGGTTATTGATAGATACCTTGCCAATCAACCCCTTTTCCGATAACTCTGCCCGGTTAACTCGACGGGGAATGGCAAAAACATCACTGTTGTCTTTGGGCAGACAAACCACATCTTTAATATAGATCTTTGCTTTACAAGCAGAGCCTCGCCCTGATGATGGGCCAGAACTACGGCTTCTTCTGGTTCCGTATGCTGATGGAAGTGCTGCCCGGGGCAAAGTTACTGGTGTGACTGTATTTCTTTGAGTGACATTTTGATTCTAAAATACAAAAAATGTTTCATGTATTTTAATCTATATATAACATCTTTTATTCATTGTCTAATTAGTATTGTCTTAATTATCAGCTTCATAAAACAAACAAACAAATTGCAAGCAAAACCTTAGCTGCTCCCATTAATACTGTATTGTTTTTGTGTGCCGAAGCTTTATAATGCTCGAAAAGGGTTCCTTTTAGGTAGAAGAGAGTGTAATTTAAGCCGTCTCAACAAAGAAGAGCTATCTGGCTATTTCTAGGCCAAATCACCGGTAATATCAAGTTTTCTAAACACCTGAATTTTTTACGCAAATCGAAAAAATAGCTCCAGAACATTTATAAACTCATCAAAATCTATGTACAGACCGAAAATCAAGAAATTTAATTTTTCGGCTGTGGCCACTCATGGAACTCCGTACGGAACCTGAACGAGCCCAGGAAGCTAGGCGACTTCTAATGGTGTTGTTTTTATTTAGATATTACTTGAAATATGGTTCTGTCGCACAAAAAAATGCATTATGCTTTCTTTTCTAAATGCTTCAGTATGCAAACTTACTTAATACTCGAAACTCAATTTTGAGGCATTGACACATTTTGAGATGATTTTTTTGGCTATTTTCAATTTTGCTAGAGTACGTACAGACACGGCCACCTTTACAGCTGTAAGTGAACGCTCATGTCAGATTTGAAAACGACGTGAAAATGTTTGGTTGTTGTTTTTTTGTATCGAAACACGACAATAAGTATGTCTTGGTTTACCCAGCTCAGGGTCTAAAATCAGTTTGGGAGACAAGGGCGAAACAAATTTGTGTATATTTCGCAATCTGACCAGAAACATATCAAATGAGCTCTTTCTGAAAACACTGCATAAAAACAATAGTGCGATCGACTTGAGTAAAGCAAAGTAAACGCATAATATAGTATATAACGAGCCTTATTTTCTTTAATTGGTTGCAGCTATGTACCAAAATCTCAGTCGATCATCTTAAGGGCAATGAAAAGCCTGTTATTGTAAAACTATGTCGCATACAAATTAAGAGCTATTTATACAAAATATAATGACTAGTACCATGATTAGACGGAACATTCCAAAAGCTAAGTGTGCAGTGACGTTCAAACTTCATGCGAAAGTATAGCAAAGTTTATACTATAGCTTAAAGCAATACTAAAGCCGGTTACGGCTTGACTCTAGTTTAAGAAAATTAAGAGTACTAACTCCTTTTCGTTCTCAATCAGTTTCTAAGGTCTTTTGCTTACCTGAAGTGTTGGATTACTTGAAGTTATAGCGTTCGCCACAGCCTGTAACTGCTCAATTACAGTTTTATAGTCCATTGTAAGAACTGTACTTCAAGTCGTGTCTAGTCGCGCTGACTTCTTACCACGAGGAGGGAAAACTCCACAGGCAACCCATGATTTGAAATTTGACTTCATCAGTACTTCATCGTTTTCCGACAAATTTTGCACACAAAAAATATGATCAGTAATTTTTCTGAGAAAATTTTCTAATTGTGGTTTGTAGTTTGGTGCTTGGCATTTTCAAATCCTTGAATTTATAAAGGTTTGTTTACAAAGCCGGATCCAGAAATCAGCTAAGCCGGGGTGTCCCGATGCAATACCGCGTGTGATTTTGGCGGGAAAGTTTACCGCCAAGGTGTGTGGCGCAATAAGAATATCCTAGTGATCTTTTTGCAACCCCGCTTGCATGACTTAGCACAAAACTTGTTAGCATTTGACATTGTCATTACAGTCGAAGCTCCACTTGCGGACGCTCCCTTAAGCGGACAGCTCTACTACTATATTTGAGACTAACATTTCATCTGTTTTAATGGGAAAGATTCCATAGATGAATTCGTAAAGGGAAACTATTCTTGATTCCACTGTAGGAAATCCAATATTGTTAACAGCGTCCTTTTTGACAATATATTTTCCTTTCGTCGTCTCCCTTTGGCCTTGTATCTCATGGTGAAAACTCGCGAAGAAGCGAAATTTCACCATATCTGATCGTGTTCCTTTACATGTCACTGATATTCCATAGATCATTTCTCAAAGTCCACATATTGAGGTAGGAACACAGCGATTTTCAGCTATTTTGAAGACGATCAACAGCGTCCTTTTTGGTACTAGAAATCGAACAATTTGAAAACACTAACTTGACGGTGAAATGGCTGGCGAAGACGCGTGTTTCACGCGAATACTTGGCCTAATCTTCCATTTTCTTTCCATTTTATTCTCCATGTTTGGTACCAAAATAAACCTTAGAAACGTGGCTTTCAGACTGGGACTGCTTTAATTTTGGTGGTTTTTACTGGCGCCTTGCGCGCACTGGTAAATAGCGCAGATAGCGGGAAATACAAACGAAAGGCCAATCAAGTAGTGTAAACAATGTCAGACCTTTTAAATTTCTTAGAAATGTACAATTCTAAACAAAAGATCACAATGTCAACTGATGATCATTGTTTAAAATACCTGAGGGAAACGTGTGTTCCAGCAAATAATATTATATACACTATGAACATTCCAAACGAGCACCTCACAAGGCACTAATGAACTCAAGGATCAGGGCGTGCGCGATCCCAATACTCGTTTGTCGATGTTTTGAACGTTTCGATTTTAGCCCAGCATTGTATTAAGATAAAGGATCGTTGCATAAGAGTAGAAAATTTGATCTTCAAACCTCAAGGGAACTTGTAAAAAACTCTATTTTGGTGGGAAAACCCGCGACTCGTCCCGGGCTCAAATGTCCGGAATTTCTGGCCATGCTTTCCATTAAGCGGACAGTTCTCTTTAGCGGACGCGGACACATTCAGCGAATCCCAAATGAACGTACTTTTCTATTACTTGAAGACTCCAAAAAATGTCTTAAGGGTGAAGAACGGGACAACTCACATCAACAACTTTCCAGCACAGGTAGCCCAAGCTCTACAATAGGCGCTTTTTGCTGAAAATTGATAAAAACAGGAAATAAAATAAACATCCTATGTTGTGCCCTTTATTGTTCTTTTTCTTAATATGAAGTTTCAGATCATCTGTATAAGCGGGTTTTTTGTGTTTTTTTTTTGCTTACCCTCCCAACCTAAAATTATAGTAGCATGCTAAGTTAATTGACTTTCAGCCTGGAACTTTCAGAGTTTGTTTACATTGCCAACCAATCTTGAAGCAATGTTGATGCGCTATATTCAAAAAAAGTCGCTACTTAAAAAAAGTTTAGATAAAAGAATCATCTATAAATAGCACTATCGGCTCGCACACTTTATAAGGTACATTTACGTAGTTTTTTAGACACCAAGTTATGCTAAAGTTGATGTTAATATATCTCGACTGGCTCCGCTCATAGGAACAAGTGAAGGTAGCACAGACCAGCAATACAACCACGTCCCTCTCTGACTCGTCTGCAGTCGTCTCTCACACCTTTTTTCTAGTGTCTCGAAAGCTTATTCTTTTCGCGCGTGAGATAGGAGAGAACGACTGAGGACGAGTCAGCGTCACTCTACTAGCTCTTGTCCATCGGTCTTTCGATTATGTTTTCGCCATCAAAATGTTTAATAAAGAACTCCCCTAGAGCGCATGGTAGTTTATTCTCCAAACCTACAATGAGAACGCGACTTCTCACTTGCTAGCCGTATATCCCTACACACATGGCTTCCTTGGATGTCGGGGCCCCCTCACAAATGTAAGGGTGTTTTTGTTCCAAGGAACTTTGTTCGGCGCCTTTACTCTGCTGCATGGGAGGACAACCACCGGGACCCAAAGCCACAATATACACCGCCGTGTATTGATGGTTACCTAGTTACTATCACAGAGTACGGCTAATTATAAGCGTTTCGCTTGTCTTATATACGAGCAAATRTGAGATGGCTAAACCATGTGGTTTAATGATTGCGATCAATCTTAGAGAAAAGATTGCGCATGCTCACATTTAAACCAATCACGTGACTACCATACTTCTCAAAAACAGCATTTCCAAGACCATAAATARATAACCAGTTTCGATAGTTTTGGTTATTTATAAACAACCATTTTCGCAGTTTTGGCTGTTTTTATAAATAACCATTTTCACATGTTGGTTATTTATAAATAACCATTTTTACATTTTGGTTATTTATAAATAACCAATTTACAGTTTTGGTTATTTATAAATAACCATTTTCACAGTTTTGGTTATTTATAAATAA